GGTTTTCCTCCTTAGTTGAACTGGCATTCATCAGAAAACTGAACATGTTAGAAAGCTGCTAACAATTTTATCATCTGATAATTTCTTTTCACCCTGCATAGAACATTTTGGCCTTTTTTTTTTCCCTCAAAATACATGGAGTTCCTACTAGTTTAGCTTAATTTTTAAGGGGTGAGAAACTTATAAATAGCAGACTGACTGAATAGTCAAAGGTTCTGGTTGAAGGATACAGCTGGATTTAATAAATACATCCTTGCTCTACTGAAAAACTGCTGTATTTCCATATTATGAGACTTCCTGTCAGCAATGAAACAGTAATCTAGTTTAAGTGGTATTAAATGAGTTTAAGTGATCTTTATTTTTTTTGGTAGCCGTCATAGACATAAGTCAGAAGATTTACACCAGAGCATCCAGCAAGGTATATACTGCACTAAAACAGAGCCAGCAAAGCACTTGTGCTCAGCTTTGTCTGTAAGCACTTTCTTAAATATGGATAATTTCTTGAATCAAAGGGCCACATCAAAGATGAGAGAAGCTGCACAAGCAGCATTTTATTCATATGAATAGTTTCATTGAACTCCTCACTGCTACTCATGTGTGTTATAGATCTTTATTAGAAAGTGCTAGATACTTCATTTTGCGTTACAGTTGTGCAAATGCTGAAGAAATTGAAGGCAAACTCCTAAATTAATGAATTTGCATAGCATTTACGCATACATATTTGTTTCATGCAGAGTGACACCAGGGAGCTGCACATTGCCGCTGGTTTAAAAGATGGAACCTGATTATTATCTTTTTAATGGTAGCAGAGATAAGGCATAAACAGCAGTTTGCAGCCTGTGCAATAGGATCCTTGAGTCTGGCATTCCCATGGGGAGAGAAAAGCCGGCAGTAGCTGAGAGACACATCCCAAACCAGCAGCTTTTAGCCACCAGCTGAGGGGGAACCCTCAGACTTTTCTTCTCCTCTGCACTCCCAGGCTTTTCCCAGTAAAGGATATCTGAGCTCCCAGATAACTTCCATGGCAATATAAACTGTCTATTTAATCATGATATTTAATTGCATTTTATTAAATAAAAAATGCTTCCAGCTACAGTGAAACCAAATAATTTTTACAATTATGATATGCTTTTTATTTCTCTCTCCTCTTTAAGTACCTTATTTTCTCCAGTCATTTTCAAGATTTCAGGCTAGAATCTACATAGCCTTTTTATATCATATTATTTTCCTACCATGCACATGTGTATGTGTGCTGTTTACCCAACAGACATTTCTCTTTCACTTGGTATATTCATTACTAAATAATTCTGTGAGAAGATACAGGCCACTGATTTTTTGCAATTTGCATCACCATACTCTAAGTTACGTTGAAAGCTCAGCTTTTTGGTCTTCTTGCTTTGGAAGTACATTAATATTTCTATGACCTTTACTAGACGGCAGATGAGAAGCATTAGGAATAAAATAACAAGCCAAAGGAAAATATATTTTCTTAAATGCATATTTCTGATCCTTGACTTGAAAGAAGGAAGAGAGAGGAGAATGTACTCTAAAAAAGAATATAAACTTTAGCCAGACTTATGATAATTGTTCTACTCTATCGCATTTTTCCATGACAAAATGTTTCTTACGAACAATCCATTCAGCATAGTGCAAAAAATGTAGCTTTTAATAGTTTTGTGCATACAAGAAATACAGATATTGTTTAGGGATGTTTAGAAACAAATAGAATCATTTAAGACATGTTTATTCACTGTGTACATTGAAGTCTTAATGCTAAAAGCACAGTCACAATGCTAACAATTACTTCATACAAAATGAATTTGGATCAATTCACTTCTAAAACTAGCTCGTTAAAAAGGAAATTCTGTGAAACAAGCTACAAATGTAGCAACTATATTGCGTGGCATAAATGATCTGCTTCGGAAGATCGTTTCAGGAAGAAAACCACCTAAATTCTCGCCAGGAAACCATTTCTCTCTGAGCAGCATTGTTTTTCAGTAGTTTTACTACACACCGGAAGCCAACTCTGTTTCTGTTCATCTAGGTGTTGATGTTGTAACTAAAAGATTCCAAAATTATTTGTAATAACTTTAAATTTCACTGCTTGATGAAAAAAATGAATGCCACATATAGATTAAGAGCATTTATGATTCAGCAAAGTGTTTAACGTGTAAGGGAGAAACTGTCCCACTAAGTACAGTAGTTTGTTCACTGGGTTCCAATGGGGGCCAAAACTAAGATTCCTTAACAGCAGTTCTCTTTCATATCCTTTTTAGCACGTGCCAAAGTAACAGGTGAAAGGACATGTTAGTTTTTCTTTTTTCTCTTTTTTCTTTTCCTTCTTGTAAGCGTAGCGTGGAAGAGTCAGAATGTTTTAAAACAATACCCAATACACCATGCCACCAACCACAAGAATCTAGAAAGGATCAGATTAAATCAACTGGTGCTATTTCTAGAGTTGACATGTGAAGAGTCCCCTGAAGTCATTGCTAACAGCAGCAGTGCAGTCAGTTCAATATATGAAAATTTTCCCTGCTTGTGGTTTCAAGGAACATAGTCCTATAATTTTATGATCAAAATATGGATTTTGTTAAAATTGTAAGAACTTCATTAGGAGAAAAAAAGATTTCAAGCATACTTTTTATGGTTTTAATTAGTTTAAATAAAATGAGTACTTCATGGTTTAGATACAAGTATTTCCCTTCCATTTGCTGTTTAAGCCCAGGAGCGCTGTGCTCAAGTCTCAAAGAAACTGAAAGTAACTAGAAGTTGACTTTTAAAAATACTTTTCCTCCTCCTTATTTTTATTTTTATTTTTTTTTAATGTTTCCTCAGCTTGATCTAGAAGTACAGAAAAGTGTAAAACAGTTTTTAATTTTTTTACAATTTTGGTCCATCTAAGAGACTTCTCACACATTAAACGTGGAGATCCTGAATCTTACCTGATCTGAAAAGTCAGAGGAAACTATGCTGAGTTTTGCAGCTGAGGACCCGTCTCATTTTAAACACAGCTTCCATCTCTTTAGATTCCTGTGCTTTAATTATGCTCTGTGTAAAATGCTTTTGTACATAAAGTAGAGATGAGCTAAACATCCCATCTGAACGTACTCAAGCAATCACATTTCTCTTTACAGTTAGTGCTCTCCGCCCACTGCTGGTGTGAAATGTAATCAGTTTTCAACTGCTAGTTTGAACGGAATTTAAGTTTCTCTTCAAGATATAGCCTGTGATGCTGAATTCCATTGCGCAAAGACAGCTCCTACATTCTGACCCAAAGCAGGATCATTCTGTCTGCACTGCAGAGTTGGGGTTCTGAAAGATTCGAATCTTTCTCAAGCATAGAGCACCATAGCCTTCGTCACCATTAACAAACCTGCAGATATTTTTATATGGTACATAATAATTCAGTACGGCATAATAGGGCAATTTTACAAAAGAGTGTTTTTATCTGAAGATTCACCAACTTAAGTACATGTGCAGCTCTAATATGGATAAGCAGGAAAGGGAGAGGTAGGCTACATGCTTCCTGTACCTGTACCTGTGCACGTGCTGTTGTATGTGCTCTAATTGCGCGCGTACCGAGAAAACATTAGATGGGAACAGTTTTGGCATCTCTTCAAAAAATATGGTGTTAGAGCTTTGTGCATGATGAAAACACAGACAGTTAAAAGGGGTAAGGTTTCTGTGTTGACATTTCAAGAATTGGCATCTTTCTTTAGGGTCAACCATCTGTTGCAGTTTTATCAAGAGAAATTGTACACCTTAGCATCAGTGCTCCTCTTGCTTAGCTTCTGTGCCTCAGGGACACATATATCCCTTGTGGCTGAGATTTGGATGTTCAATTCCTATTATAGTTGTTGAGGGTCTAGTCTGTGGGAGCTAGTGGCAAAGATGTAGGATTTCGAGAAGAGAGATGGATTTCTCATGGATTTGCTGTCTCCCGGCTCTGTGGTTTATATTCCCTACTCTCCAGCATTTCCTACGAGTCTCATTCTACTCTTGAATGGGCCTTGGAAAGGTCTGTAACCATTGGTATATTTTATAATCATTCACAGATTGCCCCTTAACTGGCTATGGGACAATTATATCTTACAAATAGGTTGTATTTATAGTACCCCTCACAAGTCTGTTTTGGAAAATAAACAAACAAAAAACAGACAAGCAAGAGACGTAGCTGAGTAGCAATACAGATGATTTGGTTAATACCAGAGACCCCAGGACTGAAAATCTAGAGCAAGTTCTCAGGCAGCCAAAATTCAGATGAACAATTTGAAATATTTTGGCCCACGGAGCAGACTACATCTCCCTGAACTGAAAGTCACATTTGGTCTTCCCTCTCGTGGATGCGACTTGCGCATGCTGTTTTTCTAATGCAACAGAAAATCCAAGGTCTAAGGCACAGACTTGAGTATTGGCCCTTGGGCCTTCATATTTAACTGTTTTCAAGAGAGAGTTAAAGCATGGATGCAAGCCGCATATAACATCAACTAAGCTCCAGACTAGAGATCATAACCTGACTCCTTTTCTTTACTGATACACAGAGAGCCAAAACTGGCAGGTTTTAAAATCTCACTGTGTGACACTTAGCTCTCTTTGCAAGCCACGCTTAGGAGAGTTGGTGAGAAGTACTGTTGCTCTGTATTGTTTTTCCTAGTAAAAATTAGCAATCAATACACTTGTTTGTATGCATATATTACAAACATTTATGTCAATTGATATAATTCCTATAGCATCATTTTCTATCTTGATAACCACAGAAATCCAGTAAGATGACAGCAAGTGTTCTAGCTTAGACTTAAGACTTCCCTTGTTTCCCTGGTTGTTAGGTTTTAACTATCAATGCTAGCAAGTCATAGATATGAGCCCAATGTAGTAAGGACTACCCAGACCAACCACTTCTGCATTTTTTTATTTTTGTTATGCATTTAAAATATCCACGCATCTCCACACATTTCCTTCCTCCTCACTTTCAGACACCGAGGCTCCCTACTACTCAGGTAAAAAGGTCTGATGCTTCTTAAACTTTAATAGTTTGTTGTGGTATCTTTTTGAAAGAGTTCTGAGGACTAACTGGAGTAAGCATTTGGGAGAAAGGACCCTGGTGATTGTATTGAGTTGAGTGTCCATGCTCTGCTATGTATCTGCAGTTACAAAAAGACAGAAAAAGAAAGATTTAAATTTTTAAATTACATTATTGCTAAACATCCACACCTTCATCCCCCTCACTCTATAAACAGTTATGCCCATTGGTCTCAGAGAATATTAACAATGTACAATATTCAATTGTATAAGGACTTCCACCATTTTGGGAAATTCTTTATAAAAGCTTTAATTCTCAGTCTCTGGATTTATCTAACATGTGCTGAAAGACAAATCAACACAGCTGTAAGAAAGGCATGTTCCGCTCTTGCCTCTTTCCAACCTTTCTTGGACACACACAGTTGCTTCACAATTAACCTGCATGCAGTCTGTAGAAAACGGCCATGAGCTCTGACTATGTTAGGGCACCCAAGGCACCACTCAGTTTCCAAAAGACATTGATTTTCTTTTGTCCTTACATTCCTTCTTGAAATGTCCCATATATCTGAAGGTCCCTGAAGCAGCTTACTGAAAGTTTACCATCCTTGTCTCTAAAACCAAACTAAATTCAGTATTATACTAATCATTATGAGGCCATGACATTTTTATACTACTGGTGGCTCAAATAGATTTGTATTTTTGGGGTACCAATAGACAGTTCATTTAAACAAAATATGAAACAAAACATAAAACATTCTGTCTTCTTTAAAAGCTAGATAATGCTCCCAGAATTTAATTGCAGTAAAGGACTTTGAAACCTTATTTTCTCACTTGGGATTACCTAGAAATATAAATAAAGTAAAAATACAGCAATAAAGCTTGACTTATAAAAACACTATTTATAGTCAAAGATGAAGAAATTGGGTATCTGCTGTACCCTATACAATCCTTTTGAAACCATATAATAGGTATAAATGATTTTTCTCCACATACTGCTGAAACTCCATGCAATAGAAACACAGGGCAGAAGTGGCTGAGTGCTGCCTGGTCTATCTAACGCTGCTGATCCTTTTGACAGGAACATTTATTAGACCATGTTAGCAGGAGAGCAGAGGCTCCGTCTGATATCCATAATTGTCTTCAGGAGGCTGGACATATTTTGTAGACACGTCAGATGAAGCAGATTCAGAAATATCCAACAGACAGAACACCTTGCTACTTTCCGGGAAATTATTACAATCATAGCTTGAGAATGATCAAAGGGAGAGAAAATAAATGGGTCACTGTTTTAAAAGCAGTAAGAATGAAAAACCTCCCATGTGAAAAGCATGTGGAGGTGAATTAAAGTCTGAGCCCCAAATTCGAAAACTAAGCTCTCATGTCTTTATCTTCCCACTTCATTCCAACTGAGCCTGTGACTGTTGAAATGAGCAGGATGTTTATCACTGATTGGGCAAAGGAGAAGAACCAAGCATTAAGAATTTCTCCTTTGTGGGCATCACTAACACTATGGAGAGAAACTCTCGGTACCTGTAATATTTTTACATAACAGATCCACAAAGGCCAATGACGCTCAATCCTAATTCAGTGAATACTGTCTTACTCCATAAGTTGTCCAAGTGAAAGTCAAATAGGACTGCTGCCATCTGAAAACCAGTGGTACTACCCTCAGGGGCACCTATCATTCAGCCCCCAAAAAAGGCAGTAAAATCTGGTGTACAACTTTTTGGTGAGCTTATACCCTCTACATGTTTCCTATACCCCCTTCTTCAAAAAAAAAAAAAAAAAAAAAAAAGTCAGAGTTTTCTGCGATGGTTCTAGAGAGGCTCCACTAGCAGACAAGAAAACCCCTATTCTTACCATCTACTACAAAATTAAGAAAATTCATCCACTACAAACTACACCCACACAAATGCCTGTAGAAAGTAAAGGAAGCAACATATACATTTTCCTTTCTTAGATGACACCTTTTTGCTCTTGATCTTGCATCTGTCTGAAGGCTGCCAGTGACATCTGCTAAGATGTATTTGTGTTTTTCCTTCTGTCTGTGACATTTAGAAGCAAGTTAGTCTGCATGAGGCTTCTCTGCTTCTCAGCTTTATTAGCCTACAGGACCTCAAAACTCTGCTGTGTATTTTCACTCTGTGTCACCAGCAAACTAGAGGTCTCTGCTGAGGCTAGAGGTTAAAGTCTCTTTTCTAAGTATAACCACAAGAGATAGAAAGCAGAGGTAGAAGGATAGTGGAAAGCAGATATGGAAGTCAGTGCATTTTGCTCAGTGATGAAACACTTTAAAAGCCAGGCAGTTCCCTAAAACTTCTCAAGCCATTTCTGGACATTCTTCATGGGAAGTGTTGAAAAAGAAGCAGGATGAGTTGTGAACAGAATCCTAAAGCCGATTAGGCAATTTAATGGAAGAAAAAATATCTCAGGAATATGTGGAAATAGTGTCACTCTGAAAAACAAGAAATCAGGATCTAAGAAAGGACAAAAACACAAAGGAGAGGAGAAACAAATAGTTTTTAAGCTACTCTCAAGCTTAAAGCTACACTCATTTCTGGAGTTCTATGTACTAACAAGGAAAAGTGTCTTTTCAGCTGTCCTGAAGTGTCCAGCTCCTTTGAAATCAACAGGACACCTAAATACTTCTAAAACGTGGCTTGCAGTTTTAACAAGCCCTGCATGGAAAAGCAAGAAAGAATAATAAGCATTAAATTGGTTCCTGAGGTAGCCATAGTAGAGACGAGGGGCTATGATTTCCTGTTCAGAGGGGATGCATCAGTGTGAGGGCATGGCATGCTTTCCCCCTCACTGCATTTGGAGTAAATCCACCTCACTTTAACAACTGTTTTCTGTATAGCACATATCCATTTCACAAGGGTTTGCCAACACCATTTTGGAATACCACCGTTTTCCTCTGACATATTTTAGCTTTGACATACATGCGACTCTTTCAAAACACATGGGGATCAATCAAAAATATGATCACTTAAGTCATGATTTTGCCACCGTGGCTAGAGGAGAGATTTATCAGTGTAGGAATAATCCACATTTTATAAATCATAATTTAAGACGAAGTTCCAGAAAAATCCTAAAATCACAAGCTGATTTAGCACGTGTAGATACGTAATGCTCACTGCGCTGTATCTTTTAAACCAAGGAAATGTCATGCTTAATATTTAATTGTTCTTTAATTAATGAAATTAAGATTTTTTCTATAATCTTTCTGAACAAGCTGAAAACTATACCTCATACTTACCCCTGCATTCGTGCAATTATCGATGGGGTTGTTGATGGAACATTAGAATTGGCTGGGTGGGTTGCTGTCCAATGAACCTTGCCAGTGTACCCAGGGATATTTGGAGTGCTAAAGAAAAAAGTTAAAGGAGGAAGAGCAAGAAACAATAAATTAAATGAACATAGGCTTGAAATATGACTTACAGATAGGTTACAGAAGTTAATGTTTCTATATCCAAGATGAATATGGAATAGACAAAAAATCATCAAAATGCAATGAATGACCCTTAAAAGGTGTAAATTGGCATAGCTTCTTTAGTATCAGTCAAGCAACTTTATGGTGATCTAGCTGATGATCCCACTCAAAATCTTTGGTTAGACAGGGCAAAAGGGAGCTCCTTGGTGGCTTTTTCTTTTTCTTTTTCTTTTTCTTCTTTTTTAAGGTAGCATGAATTCTGGCAATATCTGTATGATATTCATGATTGAGACTGACATTTATTCTCAAAGAAAAAAAAAAGAGATCACAAAAAGAATTCAAGGAAATATTCTTAAAAAATGTGGTGCAAATATAATTGACATTTAGGTCCCATATTGAAACATGGATAGAATTAAGGTAGCAGTCTTCAGGCTAACAGGTGAAATTTCTTGTGGCTTAAACATAAGAAGAGTGCGTTCCCAAATGATTCTAAAATTTTTCAAGTTTCGTCTAGATTGTTTTTTTTGGAATAAATTTAGATTTATGTGTAATACTATCAACACCCCTTAGAGATATCAACTTAAATACTAGCTTGCAACATTGGACTGAGACAGTATATGCCTTTTTGTGCACTTATTTAATCCTGTTTTTAATTGCAAAGCTAAGGCTTAATGTGAAATTGAAAAAGAAACTTCCTCAAAGATATTGAGTAGAACTTATCTGAGGTAATGCAACTGACAATTTTACTTCTACTTACTGGAAGATTAGGCAGAGATGGACCAAATTAAAAAAAAAACTAAAAAGGCAGACAAGAGAAAATATGCTAGTATGAATTCAGAGACAGAATCCATTAAGATTAAAAATAAAATGAACTAAAACCCCAATATGGCAGCGTTTTTTCAGCACCAAGTCATTCAGAAAGCCTCATCCTGCTCTATACTGACAGCTCAAAATAGGACACCACTGAATTATACATATGTCCAGACTGCCCATACACCTGGGGTAAGCACTCACGACAAGCTGTTTCAGCCACTGAATCAGCTGGAGTTGTGACCATAAACGTTGCCTGTGCCTCTCTCCTGTTCATTTACAGACTGCACGAATGAATGATAACAGTGCCCCCTTTGTATCCAAGGTACATTTTGGTTCCCATATGCTTTGGGCAAAAAAACCCATCTCCTTTAGTTACTAGAAAGCACAGAGAATTTCAGCACAGCTGACAAGATGTTTCTCCAAAACTAAATTCAGCACAGGCTGCACAACTGGACCCATGTCGGAGGTATAGTTCATTAGGTAGTTCTTTGACCAGTGTACTATTGCACTAAATTTGGCCTTGAAATTCCTCACCAGAGTAGTAGAGGTAATGACCAAATGCTGTCCCTGCCTCTATTGTGTGTAATCCACAGTTATCAACACAAAGGGCTGCCCGTGAACTAAACATGCCTCAGAAGCATGAGCAGTGTGTGGACAGCATGAGCTGTCCATATGCTCATAGTCAGCAGCAGGCTGGTCTAGTTCTTTGCCTTTTCTTTGGAGTAACCTTGCACTTGCACCCATATATTTACTGAATATTCAGTATATACACACATATTCACACACTGCTATATTCTCTTGGTCACACTGCCATGTGAGACCCTCCAACGCAGATGGCTTTGTAGGATCAGTAAAACAGATTTCCGGCATTCGGAAAGCTGCTACGCGTAGGGAATCCCCAAGTAGTTGATAGAGCAAGTAGCTAATCTTCTTTGTGTCTTAACAGCAGCCATGTCATGGTGACAAGTCGGCCTGAGGGGCTGGTACAGCACAGGAACATATTTTCAGAATTGTTCAAAATGGCCCTCAGGCAAAATTGACTTTTCATGCAAACACAGACAATTGCCAGGTTAGCTACAGATGAGGTGACTCTGTATAAAACCTGCCATTTGCACACACAGGGACCTGGCTGAGGCACACCAACACAAGGGATTTGGGTGTGTTCAGCTGAATCTGAAGGTGTGGTGCTATTTGAAGGAATTATTCAAATTGCGAACAGAGTTTTACTGCCCACATACTAGCGACATCTTTCACATTATGAAGAGAGATTAATTTCCTTGGAATTGTATGAGTGTCACAGATAAGATAAGAAGATCTCAAAAATAATCTACAAAATGGAACATTTTATACATGTATTTGGAGTTATCTAAAATAACTGTACAACTGTGGAGATATTCAAATGCACTATGCAATGTAAAAATAAAAATCATAAAATCTGATCTTTAAAGCCTGAAAAACTAGCAACCTGGCACTCCTAGTAATAATACCTTTTTGTTAGCATATTTTTCCCAAAGAGAAAAGCATCAGAAATGACCAAACTGGAGCCAGGTTAACAAAATTAAGATGACCCAAGATAAAGATTTGTTCTAAACTGTCTGCCAAAAAATATTCAAAGAAGTCAGTAACTTCATAACATGAAGGATGAAAGGATGTTGCTGAAAGGATGTTGCCCTAAAAGAGAAGAGAGATGTGTAGAGAGAAGCCAAAAGTACCAGGATAGTAAGAAAGCTTACGCTACGCTATAGCAGCTGCTCTCCTGGGAACCTGCAAAGAAGATGCAAAAATGCGCTGTGGTTATGTATGTGATAAAGCAGAAGAAACTGAGGTTAAAAAAATACCCCTTTGGTTTTTTGTTTTTGGATCATGCTGTCTAGCTCTAGTATGTTTTTGCTGATGAGCAGCTAAACCAGATTTTTGCTGCTGAAGAAAACAAGCACCAGGCTACAACTGGGCAGTGCAGAGAACTCTTCTGTGGTTATGGTTGTCATCATCGAGCTTTCCTTCTGTAGTCATGACATCTGCTTCCCTGTTATCATGTGAACAGCTCTTAATCACAACCGTAAGAAACACACAAAGTGTTAATAGCTGGATCGATGCTAGCTCCAGGATTTCAGGTGGAAGGCAGCGATTCTGCGTGCCTCTCTTTTGGTGTGCCTCGGTTCAGTACGTCCACCTTGGGAAGCCTTTGAAGATTTTTACTCCCTGGTAGCGTTCAGAAAAAAACAGTGTGAACTTAACTTAGTTGGCCACCCATAAGGGCATTTGGAGTGGTAGGAGATGCCTTAGGCTACCCAAGCCAGCCACCGGCTACACAGAACCCACTGGAGAACGACAGTGTTCTGAAGGAGCAGCTGGATTGATACTTGATGGTCCCTCCTCGGTGTTGGATCTTACAGTCATCATGGACAAATTCAAGATCCTGCAGATCATTTATATTTCTGGAAAACCTTATACCTAGAATTAAGCTGGGGTGACTGAAGAGTACAAGCTCTTTGTGCAAAAACTCCTTCTAGTGAATGCAATCCTGCATCTACCAGCCATCTGCATCTACTAGGCCACCTACTAACCCTTGTTTGTGCAATTTTAAAACAGGCCTTGGGTCTCACTCACAGCATAGAAGACTCATCTCTTTTCCACTTCAAATTCCCTCCCAGGTGGGCCTATGTGTAGGCCTACATTGTGTCTCTTCTTTTACACCACGATCCCATGTGCCAAGCAGAACGACAGTTCAAATGCCTCAGATATGATCCTGTCAGGAAACACAATCCATACAGTCTCTTGCATTGGGAAAAAATGTACTTGGGAAACATCATGAAGTCCCAACAAGGTAATCTGGGCAGTGTGAGAAAGCAGGATCTTTGAACATAGTGTTTTGGTTTGTATTTCGTACTCTTTTCTCTCAAGTATCGGAGCAGCGTAGGGAATGTGTATTCTCAAACGGATTTGGAATTTCTAAAAGGTCAAAAACATCAAAATGTAATTTCCCAGAAATATTTTGGACCAGGTTCAACTGGAACATTTTATTTCCACATTTTTAAGCAGCTTTGTTTTGTTCCTACTTTTTCCCTGCTTTCTTTAGTATAGGCGAATCTTGCAGAAACAAAGAAAATCAATTCAAGCGATAAAATCTTGATTTGAAAAGTGTCAAAGTGGGCTATGTGAGCACCCTTCCTGCCCCAGTGACTCAAATGGGGAAATTAGTAAAAACGCATACACAGTGGACGAGCTGTCAGGTTCTGAAGAAAAGAAACATTGTGGGAAAGCTCTTAGCAGCCCATCAAATGACTATGCAAGGTGCAAGGAAGAGGGTCTGGTCTCCAGCTAACTGCAGCCTGTGAGATTTCTGTGGTAACTTGCAGATAATTAAGGGATGCTGCACACAGTCAGTTGGAGGCTGACTACAGCAATATGACTGTGATATGAAGTCACTACAGATACACTGGTGTGATAGTAGACTTTTGCCCAATGCACTTGGGAAACCGAGAGTAAAGGACAGTTTCAGAGCACAGTTTTGTGCAAGACTGTGGGATTTGAAACACTCAGGCTGTTTTCTTCCTGGAAACTGCATGTATAAAGTTACCATTTCAATCAACTCACAGAAATGGATTTTGGTCTGGTCCTATTCTCTTTTATACCTTGGGACACACTTTGGCTGCCTCAATCTTCAATTCTGGAAAAGTGATGCCATAATCTACCTTATCACAGTGCTGTGGCAAGGATCTAAGTCTTCGGAAGTGCTGCTAGGTAAAACAACACTTTAAGTTAGATCGCATATGGATGTGTGTACCACTGCCATCTACTGAACATTATGAGAGCTTATGAATTATGAGTAGCAAGTCTGTGTTAATGAGTGCTGGAGATTTTTATTTAATTCAAGAGGCAGAGTCCTATACTGTGAAACAACAACAACAACAACAAGCACGTAAGGTCTGTCCTAACTGTTCCTGTTAAATTTCAAGAGGCTGCAATAGACAAAACAGTGAGAAATCAGGAAGTTGCTGTGCTACAATACAAGAGACACAGCAGTGAGGAATATGAGATCTGTGTAACTTGATCAGCATTTACTATCACTGTGTATGCTGGAATGGACTAAACGTACTATGCTTTTACTATACTACGTG